ACACTTTAAAAACTTTTAAACACAGTGCTCCTTGTGTAAATAGAACTCAACCATCTGAGGTGGGATTAACTCTAAATCTCCCTGCTATAACTTTAATGTGTATCCTTGATCTAATCCTAGTCCTACCTTTTATGTAGACAAAACAAGACCTGGGGAAATGGTGTGCCCCAGTTTCCTCAGCCAGCTGGCAGGAAAGCTGTTGTTTGACTGCCTGGCTTAAGGCTAATCCCATTCGCCCAGCACAAGCCTCGAGGGGGTTCTACCCTCTGTACGCCTGAAAAGAATGTGAGTTGAAGACACTGAGGTCTGTTTCAGTTCCAGCAATTGTCACTTTCCAGCCACTTGACCCCAAATTCATTCCTGACTCCTTAGAACCAGTTTCTTCAACTCCCTCATCCACTCCCCTGCCACCAGGAAAAAAAAAAAAAAAAAAAAGGAAGGAATAATATCACCTGGCAAGGTACGTTAGAGGCACATAGAGGGTACTTATGAAATGACAGCTATGACTGTTACAGTCAATGCTGTCCTTTTGGTTTTCATTAACGCCCCACGTTTCATCAGTAAGGGTAGCATGGTGACTCACGCAGTGGAATTCCCTTTCCAGCAGCCACTGTCATCCAAAAGCAGTTCGTAGCTCTTGGTCAAGCTCAGGGTAGTAACCAGCTCCGTGTGTATTCCAGGAACAGGAGCCTTGAGAACAGCTGGGTAGTGGACTGACTGCTGTGCGTTGTCTAATCCTGCCAACAGCAGCCCTAGCAAATGTGGCCCCTGAAGAACCAGTGAAAAAGCGGCTGTATTCCTGTGTCTAGGATCACTCAGCCCGAGTTAGCAGAGCCAGGCTCCGAGGCTGGTCTGGGTCATGACATGTCCCTTGCTCTGCTGCCTCATGGGCTCTGAGACCCACTTGAGGCTTGAGGGTGGGAATGATTTGTGGGGGCAGAGGATAAATATAAAAGGGCACAGAGATAAGAGTGCTGGTCATTATTTAGCCAGTCATCTTTTCCAGAAACGCCCGCCAAGTGCTCCTTTCCTGCTCCTGTTATCACTAGCCCGTTGATGGCCGGGCTGGCTGGGCCTGCGCTCCTCTGCTGAAATCCTTCACTGTTTTCCTGTTCTAGAGTTTTGCAAGAAAATGGGAGGAGTGTGTACATACCGGGCAGGCATCCCGGGGCGAGCGTGGAAAAGAAAGGGGAGTGATTCTGTAGGGACCTAAAAAGAAGCCAGGAAGAAATAAAATAAAATAAAATAAAACCCTCTTTAAAAGAAAACAAATTGACTCAGACTTTTTGTGGATATTATCTTTAGTCTAGACTTAGAGATAGAAGCCGAGGCCAGGAGTCTGGAAACTTCCAGTTTCTTCTGGCAGTATAAGCGACCTGCCTAATGACCCAAGATCCACCTTTGCAGTCGCCCTTACAGCTGAGTATCAGAGAAGCTCCACTCCACACACGGCTTTGTTTTGTCTTCCTGCCTGGACGGGTGGGGAATCCTTAGGCAATAAAACCGAATGCTGTTCATGCTGTATGCAAGGGCCTGGGTTCACTCTCCTCCCCATGTGGAGTTCAACTCCGAATCCAACCCAGGAACACAGAGAGGGCAGGTGAAGAGATGGCCTCCCAGTGTGAAGCATGTGAACTGAGGCTGTAGGAGCCCTGGGTATGATCTCACAGCTGGGCACTGGGCCCCCGGCCTCCTGTACGCATCCTGTGCATAAGTTTCACCCCATGAGAATTAAAATTCCAGCTCACTTGAGTGTTTTGAAATACCAAGCCATGTGTTCTTGTTGGTTTGTTTTGCTGAAATTAATGGTGCCTGGCTGTGGTTAAGGGGTGAAGTCCCGAACAGGAAGTTGGAGGAGGGCGAGAAGGAGGTATGGGGAACTGAGGGCACAAAAACTAGCGTGTCTCTTACTGTAATATGTGTTTCAGCAGAATTGAGAGAGCTTCCAGCTGCTGGTTCACTCTGAAGTGGCCACAACAGCTGGGCTGGCCAGGCAGAAGCCAGGAGCTTGGGACTCTCTCCAGGTCTCCCACATAGGAGACAGGACTCAAGCACGTGAGCCATGATCTGCTGTTTCCCGGGTGCTTTGGCAGGGAGCTAGACTGGAAGCAGGATGGCAGCAGGGACTTGAAATAGGATTCAAGTATTCCAAGCAGTGGTTTAATCCACTGTGCCGTAGTGCCCAGTGCCAATGTAGGTTGGTAAGGACTTTGTATCAGCTGAGTATTCACTTTCCCCTTCAAAAAGGAAGTGATGAGGCTGGCATTGTGGTGAAGTGGGTTAAGCCACTGCCTGTGATGCCACTGTGCTTTATGTGTCAATTTGAGACCCAATTGCTCGACTTCCAATCCAGCTCTCTGCAGATGATGGCGTGGGTGCTTGGACCCCTGCACCACAACTGGCAAGGAGCTCCAGACTCCTGGCTTCCACCCGGCTCAGTCCCCACCAGCCACTGAGGTCACTTGGTTTTTGAACCAAAATATAGATTTCTCTATGTCTCCCATTTTCTGTGTAACTCTGCCTTGCAAATTACTACATTTTTTAAAAAGAAGAAAAGAGAAAGACTTAAAACCACACTTTTTTTCATATACTCCTATTAATTTCTTACATGCATTTAACCCCACATGCTTTCCAAAGGGCATGTGTGTGTGTGTGTGTGTGGTTTTTCAAGCCCACTAAAAGTACTATCACAGGGTTGTGCAATCTTTACCACAATTTACTTTTAGAACAGCCTTATCATGCCAAAAAGAAACCCTGTGCCCAGCAGCAGTCACTTCCCATTCCCCACACCTGTAAACCCTGGCCTTAAGCAAACTTGAATTTTTTTTTAATATTTATTTTTATCGGAAAGGCAGAGTTATATAGAGAGAAGGGAAGACAGAGAACTCTCTCATCCACTGGCTCACTCCCCAAATGGCCACAACAGCTGGAATTGGGTCTGTCCAAAGCCAGGAGCTTCTTCTGGAGCTCCCACATCTGATACAGGATCCCAAGCTTCCTCCATTGCTTCCCCAGTCCACAGCAGGGAGCTAGATGAGAAGTGAGACAGGCAGGATTTGAACTGTTGCTTATATGGGATGTCAGCACATGTGTTAGAAGCTTGCCATGCTATGCCACCACACCTGCCCCCTAGACATACATGAAACCCTTAGCCTTATGTTTTCATTAGCATAATGGTATAACTTGTATCCTAATAATAATGCATTGTATAGGCTGTGTCACACTTTTTTGTTAATGAATGAGTTGATGAACATTTGGCTTATTACTGCTTTTTGACTATTATGAATAAACCAGCTGGAGCAGAAGTAGAGCAGGTGGCACATGAACCACTGTCCATACGGGATGCTGGTGCTACAATGGAGGCTTATGTTACAGCATAGCACTGGTCCCATGGACGTTTCTATTTATTTATTTTAAGCTTTAGTTATTTATTTGAAAGGATAGAGCAACAGAGAGGTCTTCTCTCCTTTGGGTCACTCCCTAAATGCCGTCACAGCTAGGTCTGGGCCAAGCTGAAGTCAGGAACTAGGAACTGTGTCTTCTCCCATTTGGGCAGGAACTGAATGGAAAGTAGAGCAGCTGGGTCATGAACTGGTACCATGTGGGTTCCCAGTACATTAAAGCAAGGATTTAACCACTAAGTTATTGCACCAGGCCCTCAAATAAAATTTTAAATAATTTTAAAATAACACAGATCAGAGCTTCATTCCTCTTTAAAGTTGAGTAGTATTCCATTGTCGTCTGGGTGAACCACATTTTGTTTTTCCATGCATCAGCTGATGGACAGTTGAACTCTCTGGCTGTCCTGAGAATCACTGTAGACATCCGTGGGCAGGGTTTTAGTGTTTTAATCTTTCAACAGCACTCTGTGCAGATAGGGGGGATAGTATAGTCCCTTTACACAGATAGAGCAGCTGAGGCACGCAAGGCCCATGTGGACCAGCTCAAGGCAAATAGCAAACTCGAGGCAGGTCCACAGACAGCCAAGTCTTTCAACTGTTAGCCTAATACATCTGGGTTTTTTTTTTTTTTTGTGGAATGTTTGGGATTGTGATTGCAAGGTGGGCTGCTGGATGATGACGGAGCCCAGTTCACAGCCCAGTGTGTAAAGCTAGGAGTCGAGCATGTTGTCTGAAGGGAGCAGCTTTCGATGGACAGAAGAGCACAGAGCCCCATCAGGTCACTCGCAGGCCGGTCATCAGGCTAGCAAGGGGGACACGGGGGAAGGGAGGACAGAGGTACTATGTCCAAAGTGGGAAACCCTTATTCCAGAAAACCTGACTCTGATGTCAGCTTTGCAGTTATGTTTCCTCTGATAGACAGGAAATCATCGTCTAAAGGTTTTCAGTTTTATTGCACTACGTTAGTTTTCTAGGGCTGCGATAACCAAGTACCGTGAACTGGGGAGATTCAAGCAACAGAAAGGTATCGTCTCCTGCTCCAGGAGGCTGCACGGCCGTGGGTAGGATACTGACAGTACTTGTTCCTCCTGGGTGCCCCTTGCAGGAGAATCCATGTCTGCCTTTCTCTGGGGTCACCAGGGGCTGCCAGCAGTCCGTTCCCTTGCTCCGTCCCCGCATGGCCTTCTGCTTGCCTGCGTCTCTATCTTTTTCATGAGGACATCAGTTATTAGATTGGGGGCCCACAGTGATCCGGTTACATCCACAAAGACTGATTTTTTTTTTCCCTCCTATGATGCAAAGAACTGTTTTTAAAATAAGGTCACAGACTGGTGTTCCAGGCAGACATGATTTTGGGCACTGTTCCCCCAAGTGACAGGCACCAAGGAATAGTCAGAGATGTTGAAACGTGCCAACAGAAGTGAGAGTCTGGCAAAGTTGAACGCCAAGGCAGCTTGGAGAGAACTTTGCTGGAGCTCACTCCGTTGGATGGGCTGGCTCATTTTCTGGCTACAGCTTTGTGCTGGTGGAACTGAATTCCTTTAGCTTGAGGACCCCAGACAGCGGCATTGTGACTTCATCTTCTTAACAGACCTTTTGCAACTTCTGTGGCTTTGACCTTGAGACACAAGCATATTTGGAGTGTGTGTGTGTGTGTGTGTGTGTGTGTGTGTGTGTGTGCGGCAGGAATAATTTTTTTAATTCAACACACATATTTATTGAATCCCTACTATGTGCCAGGACTGTTCGAGGCACCAGAGGTACAGAAGTGAGTAGAACATGCTCTGAGCACCCACAGCAGGACAGATACTTGAGACTCGGTTTGTGTTTCATCCCTGTGGGTAGTGTAGCTTGATGGGTAAAGAAGGAAGGGAGGCCAGCAGGTGAAGTGACTCCCCCTGAAATCTTTAGGCAGACTGGGGTGCATCCATAGGACTCCACAGCCAGGAACCAGCAGGTGGGTCTCTCCTGTTGCCTTCACACCCACACACGTCTCAGACACAGGAGCTTGAGGAGTGTCCCAGGGGACCAGGCTAGCATCATGGGGGGAGGGGCAGCACGGAGAGTGTCAGACTGTCAGATTATCCTGCAGGAGTGGAAGAGCCCGTGAGTGCTGTGTGCTTTTATCAACACACAGTGAGGTGTGTCACATGCTAAGGATGAAATCTTGAAAAACTAGGCAGTGTGTCTCTGCCCTCACTGAGGTCACAGCCCAACATCCCAGGAGATGAGAGCGATGCTTGTGTCTTCTTGGAATCCTATAAGAACAGAGTTGAATAAATAAATAGGACAGTGCCTTTTAAAGAGAAATACCTTTTTAGGTGGCGGGGGAGGGGGAGGAAGACAGAGATCTAATATCCACTTAGTTCATTCCAAAATGCCCACAACAGCCAGGGCGAGGCCAGGCTGAAGTCAGGACCCAGGCACTCCATCCAGGCCTCTCACCTGGTGGCAGGGACCCAGTGACTTACCACCTTCCCGAGGATGCAGGTTAATAGGATGCTGCCTTAGCAACACACTGGCCAGAACTTGAACGAGGCCCCTGCGTGCAGGATGTGGACATCAAATGGTAGTTCCGCCCCAGGAGCAGGAACAGAAGCTGAGGGAGCAGACTGGATGATCCCAACCAGGAGAGGCTCTGCAGGCATAGGAGAGTCTGCAGCAGACCCCCGGGGAGGGAGGGCTCCCCAAAGAGATAGTTGAGACTAGAGCCTACCCACCTCCCCCACCCCCAGGCTAGCTTTCTGCACAGGCACAGCTGGCGTCCATTCCCTGCTCCGGGTTCCCTCTCTGCTGCACCATGAGAGAGTTCATCTGGCAAAAGTAATGGAGTAATGGAGCCATTGATTCTCTTCACAAATGTCCAGTTCACTCCCTCCGAGACCTGTCATGGGAATTCACGGTGGAGGTCAAGACAGCTGGCAATGGAACAGCTTCCCCTCCAGGCCCCATGCTGCTGCTGGTCGCTGCTGAGCACAGCCAGGAGCTGGCCCTGTATGCGTCCCAGACCACTGAAGACTAATTACTGCTGCGAAGCATTTATGAGCTGGGGATCCTGCCCGGGGCTTTGAGAAGGGCACATTCTGAAATCTGTCAGAAAACAGGAAGTAGAAAGAGAACTGTGTCCCTTGTGATAGAACCAGAAGAATCCCCGGAAGCCGCCTTTAGCACCACGAAAACATCACCCCACTAGGTAGCCTGTCGCCCAAGATGGCATCTGTAAGCCTTCATTTCTGCATTTCTCTGTTGGAATTTTTGGATGCTGAGTGAACAGTTTTGCTTATTCTGCAAACACTGTGTGAAAACCTTCTCTGCACCTTGCTTTTTTCGGTGAAGTCTATGATAGCCTCACAACTCCCTGCTCAGACGCTGATGCAACAGAAGCCTGCGCCAAACGCTGGAAGGCCAGGAAGACGAGAGAGAATGTGGTGTCCGTGCAGGGAGAGTCTGCTGTGAGTTTGTCAGTAGAGCAGAAGTGAAATCCAGGCAGAAGGAACAGCACAAGCCCCCCACCCCCCGCAAAAACAAAAAAAAATTACAAAAGGGGCTGGTGTGTTCAGAGACTGATGATGCTTCCATATGCCTTGTTTATGGGTGGAGAAAAGCAGGAAATAGGTCAGACTGTGAAAGGCCTTGTGTGTTGTGCTAAGGAATTTGGGCTTAGAGAGCCAGCCAAATGAATAATGCCCTTGCCTTGGGGTGTAGCACTCTCAGCTATTATCAGTCCTTAATACCTCACTTCCTTTCTAACACAACACTGGAGCAATTTTTGATAAGAGCAAAGGTGGTGGGTAGGGGAGGGAGTTGTGTGCGCCACCCCCCCAAAAAAAAAATCCACTGCCAGAATGGTGGGGAAAGGGCTGTCCTGGGAGCAGCCCGGGGTCCAGTCTGCAGGATGGTGGGGTGCATGGCTGTCCTGAGAGGAACCCAGGGTCCAGTCTGCAGCCACAGCTCTGATGTATTTGTGCTTTCATCAGTAATGCAGTCAGGTCCAGTGTAGGTCGGTCAATGAGTCCTCTGTCAACAGAGCTTCATGGAAAAGCACTAGCTGTGGATCTGAGGGGGTGACAGCAGGAACTGCCAACAAGGAGGACGGTGGTGGAAGCCACTACTGAGGCTGAGCTGGCCAGAGAGCCGGGGTCACGCTCCAGGCTCAGGGGTTGCCACATCTGTCATAGAGCTGCCTGTCAGCAGCCCCTGGGCTGGTCCTGAGCAGGGCAGAGGTCCAGCCCTCCACCCAGGGCACCTGGAGGCACCAGCCCAGCCCTTGAGAGGGACCAGGTGTGTGCCAGGGAGAGGTCACTGCCGGATCACCACCCTTGGCTCTTTTTGCTTTCTCTGACAGCTGGCCACTTCAGGATGAGGACCTGTTCCTGTGCCCTTCACAGAGCGCTTTGTTGTTTCCACAGAGTCCCTGAGAAACATCGCCTCCGCTGGTCACGGTCCCCGCTCCTCGCCAGCCGAGTTCAGCGGCTCCAGTCAGCACCTGCTCCGAGAGCGGAAATCCTCCGCCCCGTCGCACTCCAGCCAGCCGACTCTGTTCACGTTCGAGCCCCCCATGTCTAACCACGTGCAGCCCACCTTGTCCACCAGTGCACCTCAGGAGTATCTCTACCTGCACCAGTGCATCAGCCGGAGAGCAGAAAATGCCAGGTAGGCGTCAGCCAGGGCCGCTTGTGGGGCCTTGATCCTGCACAGGGCCTGCCCGTTTCTAGTCCCTTGGCCTTAAGGGCTTTAAGACCACAGAAAAAATGTTACGTCTTTTCAGGTAAACAAGTATTTCTAAAAAAAAATATATATATATATACTTTTTGCTTATATCATCTTCAGATCTTAGCAGTATCACCTGCAGTTCTGAAGAAATTTCCCATTATCAAAAACTGCTTTTTAAAATGTAGTTTTGGGGTGGCAGAGAAGGAGAAGGCATCAAGGGTTAGATTTTCAGAACTGCAAGAACTGAAGTCAGTTTGCTCAGAAGCCCCTTGTGGCCAGTGGCTACCACCCTGGATGGCCCAGGTATCAGTATTTCTGTCATCACAGAAATTGCTAGAGCCGGGACTCCCTGCTGTGGAATAGCAGTTCTGGGTTTGGGGGTTTTGTTTGTTTTTTGAATTTCTTTTTTTTTATTATACATTTTATTTTTTATGATGATTACATGGTGGATCAGGGTGGGAAGGATTGAGATTTAGGGAAAATTGGGTGTACTCATTGCTTCCAAATTTGCTATTTCTTCTTGTTGTTTCTGGGGGGAGGGGAGAGACAAATGGGGAACCACTCATGAATTTCTGCATGTCCCAGTACCCACCCAGGGATGAGGAACCAGCACCTCACAGCAACCCAGAGTCTCAGTGTGTGCACATTCCGAGGGTTCTGCCCAAGCGGTTTGGATAGGTCTGAAATGCTGCCGATTTCACCAATCCATGCATGATGTCACCCTCGCAGTGACCATTGGCTCCATTCACTGAGATGCTTTGCTGCATTGTTTGTTTGGGGTAGTTGTCCAGTTAGTTCTGTTCTTCTGCTACAACACCAGAGGAACTGCCAGTTCATTTTCTTTTTGATGATGTTTATGTAGTGGATAGAGATGCTCGCCCATGTAGACCATCAGTTAGGGTGGGGAGAGTCGAGGAATGGGGGAAAGTAGATGCAACAACTGCCTCTAACCCCTTTTTTTCTTCCTGTATATGGGGAAAATACGGAGAAAGGGGAGAGGGCCACGTCCAGGGGCTGGCCACTCGATGTCATCCCAGGGTCCTTGATGTGGGGTGTGTGCTCAGAGTATAGCTTAGAGTCTCGATCCACCCAGATATTCGCTATCAAGGCTTGACTGGGAGTGGTCCAATTTGTTCTGCCCTCCATGGCACTAGATGTCCTCTATAAGCCTCAATGAACTGGTGCCATGTCTTCTGTGAGTATCTGGGCATGCTGTCCACTGCACAGGCCTCAGCAACCATGGAGACCAGCTCTTTTTTTTTTTAAGATTTATTTATTTTTATTACAAAGCCAGACATACAGAGAGGAGGAAAGACAGAGAGGATCCTGCACCCATGAGGGAGACCTGGAAGAACTTCCTGGCTCCTGGCTTCAGATCGGCACTAGTAGACATGGTCACGTAGCCCAGCCTGGTTCTTCCTCAAAACCAGCTCATATACAGGCCAACGGGCCTTGTAGTCCTGCCCAATCTGGTCTGCCCCCAGGCCTGGCTCTTATGATCACCAGTGGGAATATTGTTCCAGCAGGGAAGCCCCCACAACTCCCCTACTGGGCTTCTCCCCCATCCTGAGTCTTACGTGTGCTTGTGGGAGCTGCAGCCCAGACTGTCATGGTTCACCTCACCTTGGCATTCACCAGCAGGTGCTGTAGTCTGGTTTGGCCCGGCCTACCCCCCAAATCTAGCTCATTCTGGTGGGTGCTGCAGCCTAGCCCAGCCCAACTAGTCCCCAGTCCCAGCACTAATATGAACTGGCTGATGATTTAGCCCAAACTGGCCTGTCCCTCACCCCAATTCTTGATGCACCTACAAGTGCTAGAGCCTGGACCAGCCTGGCCCATTCCCAACCCCATGCCCATGAGTGTTGGTGAATTCCATGATCATACCTAGCTCAGCCCATCACCACCCCCAGCCAACTGGTATGGCAGTGCCACAGGGGTGAGCCCACGATCCCCCACAGAATCTGCTCCCAGACCCGGTTCTCTCAGGTGTTACTTTTTATACACATGAAATTCTTACACGCAGCTAATTTGTCACAGCCAAGTCCTCTTTTCAGCATAAGTCTGCTGCCTTAAAGCCAAAATACCAGATGCAGCAAGGTACCTAGGAGGTCCTTTATTCCAGCAGGACAAAGATGGGAGTGGAGGCAGAGGGAGGGAACAGAGAGAGAAGCGTCTCCTGCAATGGTGGCAGGAGGGGGCTGCTGGAGAGGAGGGTAAGGAGGCATGACAGAGGACAAGGTGGGGGGCATAGGGAGCCAAGTGGGGAGAGAGGAACAAGTGAGGGAGGAAGAGGGAATGGATGGAAGGGCAGCCATGAGGGATTAGTGGATAGGATTGTCAGAGCCGCAGGATATTGGTAGGTGGGCAGAGATTAGGGGGAGGGGGCACAAGGGATTGGTGGGCACCCGGAATGACACAAAATTTGCAAGCCATGGGAAAGGGGAAATAGATACCTAAAATAGTAGATTCCAAAATGTCAAGGGCCTTCAAGGCCAATGTTCAAGTCACTCATCGCATCGGGAGGCGGTTAGTGTCATGGCCCAGCCTAACACGGTCCACTCTCGGCCCTGACACTCACTGCTGGGTACTATGGTCAAACGCTGCCAGCAGGCCCCCCAGCCGTGGCTTTCATGTGCGCCAGTGGGCAATAATCGATACTAACCAGCTCAGCTCAGGTCTCCCATGTGGGCGGGTATATTGGTGTGGCCCCAAAAGGTTCTCTGGTTTCCCTCCTCTAAACCACCTGGTCTCAGCCCCCTCATTCACCTGCAAGTGCAGTAGCCTGGTTGGTGGGGGTCCCCCAGAAGTCAGTCACTGCTCCCCTGTCCTGTTCCCCCTCAGCAGTCCTTCCCCCCCACCCCCCCATGCATCTCCAGACCCGCTTGTCTGAGCAATCCATGGCCTCCCGTGCCTGGCCCTCTGGCAGTGTGCTGTACCAGCCTGAGGCCCTGCCTGCCCACCCAGAGCCCGTGCATGCTGACATGCGGGTCCCCAGGCACTATGAGTTTCAGCAGGAGGCTTGGAGATGCCAAGATTGCCTCGACTCTTGAGGATTGTGATACAGAGATTTCTGAGTTTGTCCTGTCTTCTGTCCCAGAAAGGATCCATTTGGGATGGGTCCCTTGCAAAGGATGGGTCCAAGTCACCTCCCATGAGGACCAGACACAGTCACAGAGTGCTGACTTGTCTACTTGAAAGTATCTATGTAGCAGGTTACCCATAGGTGCGGAGCAGGATCATTTAAAGGCAGAGCAGAGAGGGCAGCCATGTGGCTTTGAAGGTAGGAGTCCCATATCACGGGTTATGGGACCTGAGTTCAAGTCCCGCTTCTCCCAATTCCAGCTTCCTGCCGCCACCCGCCCTGGAGGCGGTGGCAATGGCTCAGATGCTTGGGCCCCTGCCATCCCTATGGGAGATGTGGAGTTCCAGGCTCCAGCTTCTGGGGCCAGTCAGGGAGTGAACCAGCAAATGCAAGCTCACTTTCTCCCCCATAGCTCTGTGTGTGTGTGTGTGTGTGTGTGTGTGTGTGTGTGTGTGTGTGTGTGTGTGTGTGTGTAAAATTTTAAAAAACAAAAATCTGAGTGCATCTTCAGGTAAAGTCTGATAGGATAGAAAAGAGCTAAGTCATGGTGTGGAATGGATCATCCCTTATCATAAAATTATAGGAAACTGGCCGGAAGACCTACGGCCCCAAGTGTACAAGCCCAACAAGTTTTGAGTCGGTGCTAAGGCCAAAGTCTGTGAAGGAAGAGGGGGTGACAGGCAGCAGCTGGGCAGGGCGGGAGAGGCGGCCCGGGCCGCTGTCCTTAGGGAGCGCCCTGAATGCTTGCATGTCGCCCCCTTGCCATCCCTGCCCATCTCAGAGCTGTGAGAAGGCTTTGCAGTGACAGCACGCGTGAGGGTCCTGGCACAGGATCTTATTTTGCCCTGTTGCTGTCAGCCCTGGAGGAAAAGCCTTGTAGGTATCCACAGGCCCGCAGGCCTCAGGCGAGGTCCCACACCACGGGACTTCGGAGCACTGAGAATCCCCCCTCCTGGCTCTTGTCCCCAAACAAGCTCCTGGCAGTGAGCTATGAGCAGGGCTCCACAAACCTGGGCTAGTGCAGGACCTACTCCATCTCAGCAGGTTACTCTTGGCAAGTTCACATTTGTCTCCCTGGCTCAGCCCCTCTTGCATGTTGACATGATCATGAGCTGTGTCCCTGATCCTGCATCCACGCCGCCTGCCAGGCCCGGGACCAGGTACAGCAAGCAGCGCATAGTGTAATGACAGTGCAGCAGGCAGCCAGCACCGTGCAGTGGATGCCAGCGCTGCCGGAGCTGGAAGGAAGGGACTGGAGTGCAGGGGAGGCCTAGGAGCCTGCAGGGCCCTCAAACCTCCAGAGGGTGCCCTGGAGATGTAGTGGCAGCCCGCGTGCTGGCGAGTGGGGAGCCCGGGAGCTGGGAGGCACCGCTTGGGCAGGAGGCAGTGGGCTTATTAATAAGGAAGAAGATTCCGAGTACCGATCCCAGGAGAACTCAGGCACAAGCTCAGCAGCGCCACCCAGTGCTTGATGTGTTTCTTCCCATGTGCATTCCTTTGTGTTGCTTACACTAAGCTGGGTGCTGAGGAGAGCATGAATAAGTCTGCAAGGAAATCAGTCTGCTAGAGGAGACAGGGGTTCATGATACAGATGAAAATTGCCACTGGCTCCAAGAACAGAGTCGCACCAGTGATGGGACGGAAGATGGAAGGACCAGCTTAAAGCACGGACAGTTTGAGCTGAGGAAGGCTTTCCCGACAGGGCACAGCAAAACCTCGTGGCTGACAGCATGGGGCATGCTGGGCACCCTGCCAAGTGTGGTTTCAGTGGGTCCTCACGTGGAAGGGAACATAGGGAGAACAGCTGGAGAGCATGGCCACAAGCCTAGGAGTTTGGGCCTGCCCTCAAGGTGCTGAGATGGGACAGGCAGTCAGGAGCAGTGAGCATCTGAAAGGCCTGGGACCCGTGGCAGGTCCTGGCCAGAGACTTCAGGAACCTAACTGGAGTGGATTCAGTAGGACCCGATGGGGTTCGCAGGAAAGAAATCGCAGATGGGTAACCCCCAGCTGCGTGCCTGGTGCCACTGCCAAGAGGGCAGAAGTGGAGGGAGAGGAGGGAGGCGGGGTCACAGCAGGCGACCTGCGCCCCTGGCCCCTCAGCTGGCATCCCTCAGCCTTTTTTCATCGGTGGCTAACAGGATGCAATTCGGCCCCTACCACATGGATTTTGAAGTATTTGTGCCGTGGTGAAGTACATGTCCCAGCTACAGTGAATCGCGTCGGTATCTTGTGGCGGATGCACAAAGCCTGGCGTGGCTTCTCTCTCTCCGTGTCTCAGGAATCCAGGGCATCCTCTGTGGCTGTCACCCCTGCACTCCCAGTGCGTCTCATGAAGGGTCTTCTTCCTCTGTCACTCTGTGTGGCCTTCACCCAGTGCCCTCCCCGTGGCTTCCAATAACCCCGTTCTGCTGTCTGCTTCTGAAGGCGCCTGCTGTGTCGGGTTCTGCGAGTGAGCTCTCACAGCCCAGTGTCCCACATGCCAGCTCCTACCTGTGCAGCTTGCGTCTCTGTGCCCTTACTGTGTTGTCTCTTAGGTCTTTGTGCCTCCCTGTCTTGCCCACTGCCTGGCCAGTTGCTTGCTTATCCTTCCAGCATCACTCAGATGTACCATCTTGAAGGAAGTGTTGCCTGACACTCTGCCACTACCGTCAGCACCACCGCTGCCAGGGAGGGTTAGCATAACCATGAAGCCACCAGCTCATTCGACTTGATCGTCTCGTTGGCACGCCTTGAATTGCCTGCTCCGTCCCTGTGGTACACACCCTGACAGGACAGGTGGCATCTCTGGCCCACATGATGACTTGTTCAATCTGGGTGGAAATTATGCCAGACAAGAGAGAGGGGGCGGGGTGAAGTCTGGGTCTGCTCTGACACCCCTGTTCTCATTCCCCTAAGCATGGCTCTAGTGAAGGACTCATGTGAGGTGACGCAGGCTGTGGCTGTGCGTGGAATGAGCCACAAAGGGCAAATGGACTCGTTGGCCTTGGGAGTGAGGGCCTGTGAAGGCTTGGTCTGAATGAAACCTGGAGCCATCACACACTCCTGCGGGAGAGGGAGCCTGGGGCCCTATTTTCTATCGCCCTCTGGTGGCCACATCTATAATAACAAGCTCCTTCAGCACAGCTTCCTGGACTGGCCCCTAGCAGCTAACAGGTAAATGTGTCCTTTCTTGCTGCTGAGAAACTGCAAGGTCTTCCCTGTCAGATTCTTGAAGATATCTGTGGTCTCCCAGAGACTGAGATCATTGCTCTGAAGGATTTGGTGGCTTTTGTTTCATTTTGTTTTGTGCCTAATGAGCCCCTATGAAGATTGCCAAGCAGACAGGAAAGCAGGTGTGGATCCTTCCTTGCCCATCAGTTCACGCCCCCTGTCAGTCCACAGTGCCCGGTCTTGTCCTCCACCAGACACAGAATCTAGTCTCAGAGCCACTGTGGCAAAGGGTGGACCTTCTGTTCTTAGAGCCCATCACCAGGCCCCGCCACAGGAGGGGTCGCCACGGGGCTCTGTCCGTGGCTGCGCTGGAACGTCCCCCCTCGTGTGTGGCCGGCCTTATCTCTCTGGGCCTAAAGTAAAAAAAAAAATAATCAGTACAACTCCTCCCCCCTCCTTTTTTGGCGGGGGGGGAGGGCAGTTGGACATAGTTCCCAAATAGGAAAATATTTTTTGGATTTTTAGAAACAGGTATTTCCCGCCCCCTCCCCCGAATGACTCTCAGAAAACCATAGAACATACTAGAAAAGAACTCTGTAGTTTATGTTGAATAGTTGTAAGTACAGCATCCATACCTATGAGCTGGGGTTTTTGGGTTTTTTTTTACTTATTTTTTAAAAGAAGGCCCATGATGAACTTGCTTTCTTTTTTTTTATTGTAGTTATGTAGAAAGCAGATTTAGAGAGGTAAGAGAGAAAGATGTGCCATCCACTTGTCTCACTCCCCAAATGGCTACCACTGCTAAGGCTAGGGCCGACCGAAGCCAGGAGCTTCTTCCAGATCTCCCCCTCTGGATGCAGGGGCCCAAACACTTGGGCCATCCTCCATTGCTTTCCCAGGCACACTATCAGGGAGCTAGATTGGAAGTGGAGCAGCAGCCAGGACTCAAACTGGTGTCTATGAAACGCCAGCTTTATCCACTGCAGCACAGCACTGGCACAGAGCTTGTTTACAGAAGGAAAACTGGGGCTCAGAAAATGGCTGGCGGTGCTGCGGTCCCAGCAGCCTGAGGGCCCGGGACTGCCTCACAGCCTTTGCGATGTGCGGTGTATACTCTATGGTTCTTACAACAGTGAACAGCAATAAACCGAGGCCATGCTGATTGAGGGGTAAGACTGACCTTGAAAGTAACTGTCATTTGGGGAAGAGCAAAGGCTGAGGTTAGTGGAACCTCTGTGAGTGTGTGCTAGATATGCCAAACAACCTTCCAAATATGTTTTTAGTTACCAGTTTGCAGGTAATGGAAGCAAGTTCGGAAGGAGAAAGCTTGAGCTTTGCTCTGGGTCACACCACGAGCGAGGGGTGGCAGACCCTGTGTAAGCCCAAGGTCTGCCTGCCCCCTCGCCCTGTGTGAGCCCAGGGTCGGCCTCCCCCCTCGCTCTGTGGTCTTGTGTTGGCTTTAATGGTGCAAAAACATACGTTTAGATTCACCAGCTGGACTCGGTTTCAATGACCCCAGCCTTGCTGGCAACATCCAAGGCATTATGATCAAGAGCTGGCGAGACACATGGCTTCCTCCCTGTCAGGTCTGATCAGGGTCCCGACTTTGGCCACAGAGTTCCTCCACAGCCTGTCTGATCCTGACACCCACAATGACCACAAGTGTGTGTCGCAGCAGACCCCACAGTCAGGGGCACCTGACTGTGCCAGGCTTGCTTCTCCCGAGGGTGTCCGGACTGCCGCTGGGACAAGGGATACACGTGGATTCTTTATTTTGTGGTTTTAGGCACCTTTTAGCACTGCCTTCGGCTTCCAGGGCTGTGGCCTGGGCTTGCGGCGGGAGAGGCAAGAGCGGTGCCTTCAGTCTCCGCCCCTCCACCCGTGCTGGTTCCCACACCCGCCAGGCGCGGGCAGGCTCAGTGCCTTCACTGTATTCTCCATGGGCAAATCTTCTCACCATCCTACCCCTGTTGCCTTTCCTCCCTAGGAGTGCCAGCTTCTCTCAGGGCACCAGGACCTCGTTTCTCATGAGGAGCGACACAGCCGTACAGAAACTTGCCCAGGGCAACGGACACTGCGTGAACGGCGTCAGCAGTCAAGTGCACGGCTTCTACAGCCTGCCCAAGCCCAGCCGGCACAACGCCGAGTTCCGAGACAGCGCCTACGACCTGCCGCGGAGCCTGGCTTCCCACGGCCACACCAAGGGCAGCCTCACAGGCTCCGAGACGGACAGCGAGGACGTGTACACCTTCAAGACACCCAGCAACACCCTGTGCCGAGAGTTCGGGGACCTCCTTGTGGACAACATGGAGGTGCCGACCACCCCGCTCTCGACCTACCAGGTCCCCAGGACATTCACGCTGGACAAGAACCACAATGCCATGGCCGTGGCCGCTGGGGGGGACTCGGCCGTCGCTCCCCCGCCCCGGCCCCCCAAGCCTAACCAGGCGGAAACCCCTCGGTGGGGCAGCCCTCAGCCGAGAGCAGCAGCCGGTGACAGCAGCAGATCAGTCGCCGCCACCATCCCCAGGCGCAACACGCTGCCAGCGATGGACAACAGCCGGCTGCACCGAGGTCAGTGTGCGCCCCAGCTGCCACCCCGGGGAGGGGCACAAGGGTTCCTGGGGATTTGTGGGTCACAGGGTCATTCCTGGCAAGATCCCTGATGGGTGTTTAGGCAGCTCCTGCCTGATCCCCTTGCCCCTGGGTCCTCCAGCAGCTGGAGACCAGAAGTAGATATTGCAGGAGTGTAGTGGGCGCTGCCTCCGGGAAGGCAGTAGTGAGAGAGCGCAAGAGTGCAGCACAAGGCAGGAGTGTGGACCGGGGAACAAGGAGCCTAGTGTTTTATTCATGTTTCAATCAAAGCAGCTGGAGGACCAGGCCTGTGTGAAAGCTCTCCCCAGCCGCAGGAGAAGCATCCTGGCTGCAGCTTTGGTGGCCCCTGCTTTTCCAGGGAGAATATTCCCCACCCTGCTTCCAAGAGCTTCTGCTGAATGAAAGAAAACATCAATTCCTCTCACCGCGCACCTTGCTTAGGGCTGGCAAAGCCCTTTCTTGCTGTTAGACAAAGGCCCCGTGTGTGTGGGAGTTAGGAGCCACACATGGGCTGCAGGGTCCTCCCCCAGGCAGAGATGAGGCCCCCCCACTGAGGTCCCAGGCTCCCTGCAGCCCGAGTCCATCAGCACACTGAACATTCACCTGTGCTGTGGAACTTTATAAGAGACCCACCTGGAACTTCCAAAGGTTCATGAAAAGGTGCAGTTAAAGGTTAAACTTTTTTTGGTATAAAAACACTTCTAAAGCCATGAAGGTTTTTTTTTTAATCATAAAATGTTCCCTTCCCATGGACATTTTGAAGATTTTGAGAGTCGAAGAGTTAGAATGGAGAAACGGAGATCTTAAATTCACTGGTTCACTCCCCAGATGGCTGCACTGGCTAAAGCCAGGAGTTCCCTTCTACCACTCCTCCTCCCCCAGCCCCCACCCCTGGGGAATCTGATGAAAGAAGACATGTCTCAGCCCTTCAGAGCTCACATCTGGTTGGGAGTCAGACCCATGGACAGGAGTGAAAGGGCAGGTGCTGAGGTTGGACTCTGCAGCTGCCAACAGCTGCATCCCACGGCCTGGGAGGACTGAGAGGTGACAGGCACAGGTGCGAGCAGGGGCGCCCTCTGCACACTGCTCCATCCTGACTGCTTCCGTGTTTCCCTCCTGTGCCGCAGCCTCCTCCTGCGAGACCTACGAGGGTGCGGGCAGGCCTGCCGAGTCCGGGAGAGATGCGCTTGGGTGTTTCCTGGTGAGTGGGGATGAGCTGGGCTCCTCCAAGAATAGTTCCCGAAGTGCAGGAAGACCTAAGAGACTGTCCTCTTGGTTCTCGTGTGAGTTCATGTTACTGTGGAGAGTTTTTAAATGAGTCTTAGGCCTTGTCAGCCAGTCTACCTTTGCAGGTAAGCAGAGGATGCAGCGTGCACAGGCCATGACTCTGGGTGGTAGGTCTTCCACACTAGCGCTCTCACCTCAAGGAGGGATGGCAAAGAGGGTAAATAGAGATGGTGCCAAACTCCAGTCTCAGTGTTGTTCAAGATTTATTTCTATTAGAAAAGCAGATTTAGAGGAGAGACAGACATCTTAATCCACTGGTTCCCTCCCGATGGCCTCAGTAACCGGAGCTGAGCCAATCCAAACCAGGAGCTCCAGGTCTCCCGTGTAAGTACACAGTCCTCCCACTGCTCTCCCAGGCCCTGGATGGGAAATGGAGTAGCCGGGACTCAAACTAGAACCCATAAGGGATGCCAGTGCACCATAGACAGAAGATTAGGGGCCAGCATAGTGGCATAGCAAGCCAGAGTTCTCCTGGGTTCACTGGAAAGGCAAGGAGCATCGTGCAGATCCACTACCTATCTGCTGACACAGTGCAGCAGCTGGAGTGTGGGCAGTTCCTGCAGGGTCCACGCCCACAGCAGCCCTTCCTGTGGCAAGCCCCACGCACAGAGATGGGCTCAGCCCTCACCTTCCTGGTGCTGCTGACTGCCCAGTGTGAATCTAGACTGGAGGAGAATGTTATGTCCCAAACCAAGCCTACAGCTTGGGGAAGCCCTACCTGTGTTCCTCATGTGGGCAGCAGGGATCCACTTATTCAGGTCATCTGCGGCTTTCGCAGGCTTGTTAGCAGGAAGCCAGGTAGGAAGTAGAACAACCAGGACTTGAATCCATGGTGACCTGCTGTGCCTCAGAGCCAGCCCAGCACGGGTCTTCTGATAGCCTGAAAGCAGAGCTAACCCAGTCTTGACTTCTCCTGCTGCGCATGCCCAGCTTGTCCCATCCCAGTGTAAGTTGCTTTCCTTCTTCTCCCTAGCCGGGGAAGGCAGTGTTGGGCCGATCGGACAGTGCCAATTCTGAAGATAACTACGTGCCCATGAATCCAGGCTCCTCTACCCTGCTGGCCATGGAGCGAGCAGGGGACAGTGCCCAGAGTGTCTACATCCCCATGAGCCCAGGGCCTCATCACTTTGACGCTCTGGGCTACCCAGCCACTGCCCTTCCTCTGCACCGAGGCCCCAGCCGCGGCAGCGAGATCCAGCCACCCCCTGTGAACCGGAACCTCAAACCTGACCGGAAAGGTAAGTCCACTCTTGCCCAGCCCTATCCCTGCATGGTTACCAGGCACCGCTGGCATCTATTTGGACTTGGGAGAAGCCATGGACCCGCTTTTCTTAACCTGAAAAAACCGGGAATCGTGTTTTTCCTGCCTCACAGCAGGGAAGTCAGCTTAGCCCAAGACCACCTAGATGTGACCCCCTGCTGCTGGCATTGGACAGGGGGCGGGGATTTGAGGAGTGCATAGGGTAGGCCACAGAGGAGTGCCTCAAAAGTTCCTGTACTGGGGGTGTAGTCATGGTGATTTCTGCATTTCCAACATGATCTTACCTAAACAGAGCCCATCCACGTGTGTCTACTTTGGATTCTGAAAGTACAGTTACCATTACCACAGAGTACAAACCAGGACATGACTTCTGCTCAGGCCAAGACACTACAGTCGCCCTCCCCGTAGCCAGAGTTCACCACCTGGAAGTTGGATCTATGCTGCCCAAGTACCAGGGGTATCAGATCATCCAGAGAGAACTTAAAGCACACAGGAGAATGTACACATGCTATATGCAAATACCCGCAGCAGCTAGGGCAGGGCCAGGGTGGAGTCTGATATGTGAGGGACCACTGTTGCCTGTCCATGTCTTGATTTAGCAACAAGTTGCAATCAGGGCTGACCTGAGGTACTGTGCTGTGAAATGTGCATGCCTTAACTGACATTAAGCCACTACACCCAATTACACAAGGGCCTTGAGCATCCCCCAGCTGTGGGACTCAGGGTGTGGGGAGGATGTTCTGAATCCAGAGCTGAAGGATAACTGCAAACCCTCATGCAGCCTTGCTCTCCCCGGGTCCAACTCCATGCATGTGATGGCTTCATTGCCACCAGCCGCCTACTGACCACACCCTCTGTTTGTGCTTCAGCGAAGCCAACGCCACTGGACCTGAGGCACAACACCGTCATCGACGAGCTCCCCTTCAAATCGCCCATCACCAAGTCTTGGTCCCGGGCCAAGTAAGTGTGTTTGTCAGGGGAGCCGGCTGGGGATGCCATCCCCAAGAGGAAGTTCGGTTTCCTTGTCTGAGGACGATGAGCCCTGCCTGCCTCTATCAGCCCTTGCTCTCATAGGGGCACAAGGCAAGGGTGAGAAAGCTTCGTCCTCTTCCTCCTCTAGCCACACCTTCAGCTCATCCCAGTCCTGCCGCCCCATCTCCACCCAGAGCATCACCAGCACGGACTCCGGAGACAGTGAAGAGAACTACGTTCCTATGGTGAGTCTCTTGGGGAGCCAGGGGCCCCTGGGACTCACTTATTTAATACGTCACAACCTCTCCACCCAGCAAGCTGCTGACTTACTTTTCTACCATTAACACAGGAGGGGTCCCTGTCCTCGGTCAGCCGTTCCCAGGGCATCTGCTTGGAGGCCTGGACATACTGGGCAGGCACCATAGGGCTCACTCCCTCTTGAGCCCAGCACTGAGAAGGGTGCAGCGTCCCTATGGCCCTTGGCAGGTGCCATATAAAGCACAAAGGGCCGCAGCAGGAGCCTGCTGGGAGACACACCCTGGCCTGTAGCTGAGCAACTGCATCCCTGGGGTCCCCACCTGGCTTAGGCCAGGGCTGGGAGGGGTGGAGGCAGCGACCAGCTCACACTAACAGTTCTTTCCTCCTTGTGATAGCAAAACCCCGTGTCTGCCTCTCCTGTTCCCAGTGGCACCAACAGTCCAGCTCCTAAGAAGAGCACTGGCAGTGTGGATTATCTGGCCTTGGACTTCCAGCCCAGCTCCCCAAGTCCCCACCGCAAGGTGACTGAGATGGAGGGGGTGGAGTAGGAGGGGGCCCTGGGGAACCAGTGTCTTACCCAGGAACTGCAGCCCAGAGCCTTCATCTCCTTGATCTGTGCTTTCACAAAGCCCTAGGGGACTCAGAAAACTTCCTCGAGGAGTGTGGGGGAGGTCCACCTCCTGGCACCCTTGGGAGGAGGCTGGGCCTGCAGACATGGGGGAGGTGCTCACCCACCTCTCCCTCCCCGTGCCCACAGCCCTCCACGTCATCGGTCACATCGGACGAGAAGGTGGACTATGTTCAAGTGGACAAGGAGAAGACCCAGGCTCTGCAGAACACCATGCAGGAGTGGACAGACGTGCGACAGTCCTCTGAGCCTTCCAAGGGCGCCAAGCTGTGACACAGGGGACACTAAACCCAGGGCAGGGCCACTGTCCACCAGGCTGGCTCCTCCCCACCTCCACCACTCACAGCCTTCAAAGTTCGATGTCAGGGACACCTCAGCCTTTCCCCCAGGAGGCGAGGGCCTGCTCTAGACCCGTGTTCAGCCCAGTGGGGCCCTGAGGGCCATGTTTCCACCCCCCTCCTTAGTTAGGAGCTATTGCCAAGAACACCCTGCCGCCCCTGTGCTTGCAGCCTATCACCCAGCTATGTGGAGGGGAGGCTGGGGCCGGGGGCCCGAGCACCTGCAGGCCAAAGTGGACCTGGATTGTTTTATCCTGGTGTTGGCAGAGGCGAGGCCTTCCAACCGTGCCCAAGTTGGAAATGAAGGGAAGAGGGGCAGGACCCTAGGCTGGGGGCCAGGAGGGAAAGGAGGACAAAAGGGACAATGTAGGTAGGGGTTGGGGACAGGCCCCCAAGGAGGAGCAGCAGGACTGGCAGTGCAGGATGGTGTGTGCAAGGTCACCACAGGGGCAGAGTCCCACAGTGAAAGCTTGCACAGAACTGGACAGTGCCAGGCAGGGAGGGGGGCCCTGGTCCAGGAACGGGCTGGGCAGGGATACGGCTATTAAGATGGTTCAGCAAGTGAATGTTTGCAGGGTGCAGAGGTAAGCTGAGGAGGCAGAGGGCCAAGGCCATGGAGGAGGAAACACAACACAGGCCTGCCGGACAGTCGTGAGCAGTGGCGGGAAATCCAGGACTAATGAGGGAGAGACTGTGGTTGAGGGGACCAGGCCTAGTGGACGACCTGGGGGTGCAGGTGCTGGCAACAAGTGTTGCTCACCTCAGCTTCTGTCGCCTCCAGCATTCCAGGATCACGCTGGACTTGGCTACAGGGGCCAAAGCAGCCAAGCTCTTCTTCCAGGGCTTGGAGGGTCTCCAGATGGGCAGGTATGCCCTCAGCAGGGCAGGTGTTCAGCCGTTCCAGTTTCAGTGGCAACAAGGCCGACCCAGTGGACCATCCTGTCCTGGCAGGAGTAGCTCTCCACTGTATCTGCTGGGGCTGGCTGCCCACACCTCCCCATGCTCAGCAGCCTGGCCCCTCTGGAAATCCCACCTTCAGGAGAGCAGGTCCCACCATGCTGCGATCAGCTCAGGGCTTAGGCATTGAGGACATGGGGAGCCATCCTACTGTAAGCTTGAACCACGCAGGCATCAAGGCTGCTTCAGCCAAGGCAGCTGTTCACAAGAGGGGAACCAGGGCTGCAGGTATGGGAAGCTCCAGCTTGCCCTGGGGTGGGGAGGGGCCTCTACCCCAGGCCCTGACCCAGGAGTCCCCAGCCCCAGCAGCCTCCCCTGCTGACATCAAGTTGCCATGGAAAATGTTACCGTGTTCCCAGAGTTCCGTGGGGTGGCTGCAATGGGGGCATAGCCTCTGGCAGAGAGGCTTCCTGCTCTTGGCCTTATGCCCAGTGTCCCCTTAGGCTACAAGTAGGGGACAGAGAGGGGCGCTGAGGCTCAAACCCATCAGCCGCCCCGACACCAGGGAGTGAGCATCAAAGCAGGTCCTTCGGCGGCGCAGTGGGCTGCATCTCACCTCCCCCAGGACAAGGAGACCTCGTGTGCACAGGGACTCGTGTGGCCTGGACCACTCTCCGGCAGCACCCACATCTGGCTCTACCTCCACAAGGTGCATGCAAAGGCCCAGGAAATGGACCTGCTGCCTCTGCCTGGTCCTTGGTGTCACCACTTTGAGAGGTGGGGGCTGGGTGAGACGACTGTGTAGCTCCAAGGGGCGTGCCTTGGCCTGGAACCTGCCTCCCATGGCTCTGGGCCACCAGGGTGGGTGGGAACCATGACCTCCACCCCGCGCCCTTGCAATCACCTCGTGTCTTGGACAGAAGCACAACAGGAAGTTGCCGGGGCATGGCACTCCACCCCAGGCTGTCCTCTGGCCCCTTGCCAGTCACAGGCTACTCGAGGGCCTCCCCCTGACCACACCCCTGGGACAGCCATTGCTGGGCCCTTCCTGGCTGGCTGGCTGGTCACCTGTGGCAGCATGGAGCAGTGAGGCTGACCTGAGCTCCAGGCGTGGGGGATGCCCCAGGGCAACGGGCGTGCCCTGGTGCTCATGGGCTACTGCGTGTATCTCCAAGTTTAGAATCATTTCGTACACAACTGTCACTGTTGGGAAGAGCTAAATGGGCTCCAGGCAGTCCCCTCTTAAGTTCACTTTTGTCTCGTCACCCTTTAAGAGATTGACATTTAATTTTTTTTCAAAGTCCTGTTGGTGCCTAATCACTTAAGTTATTAATTTATTCTGTTTCCTCTATAACATGTATTTATCTTGTGTGTAGACTGGGGGCCGGGGCGGGGGGTGTGTTCCTGTGGGGTCGTGGATTGCTGTGGTGACACAAGGTACAAGCCTGGAGCTTTCAGGTCCCTTTTCACTGTGCTGTCAGAGCAGGATGACAATAAAGTCCATTAGAGGCGCTGCCTAGTCCGTGTTGTCTGACGGGCTGGGACCTACAACCATACTCACCCCAATCCTGTGCAGGGCAAGCCCACAGCATCCCAGCCAGCCCATTCCTTCCGAAGCATTTCCCGGCTAGAGCAAGGACGGCTGAAGGGGCACCTGCTCCCTCTTCCCGTGAAACGACTGGGAGCAGAGTGATCCTCTTGACTTGATCTGCACACGGGAATCACCCTGGCAGCTACACACAGAGGCTGGTGTCACTCAGTCCCATGCGAGCCACCCAACCCTACTTCCTGAGCACCTCAACCCGTGACTTCACCACTTACTACTGCCCAGGCCCACAGCCAGTTCAGGAGATGCCACAACTGGCCCCTCAGGGCAGGAAGGAATATAAGGGTGTCCATGGGGCCTGCAAAACCTGGGACAGTGGGTCCGCAAGTCTCATTCACTGTATCCTACAGGGGCCCTCCCCTCCACCAGCACTGGCCTCCCACCCATTCCCTCCAGGCCCAGCACCAGTGCAGAGGCAGGTTGCCCGTGTGTGGACAGGAGTGGGTCCTCTCCTTACCCTTGAAGCGCCACCAGATTTCCCAGCCAGGGGAGCACACCTGGGGCAGGGCGCAGCACAGCCACTGAGGCAGGAAGAAGAACATATTTCCCAGGTGTCAGAGAATCTAGTTTTATTCCTGTTTGAGAACAAGGGTGTCTCCTCTCCATTTTGAAGGGGCTACAGCAGTGTCAGGGCACACGGAGGTGGCCCCACCTGGCCAGCAAGCACAGGGCAGCCAAGCCAGCCAGCTGCCTCCACACAGACCATGGCTTTGTGAGAAACGCAAACATCTTTGCAGGAAAATAAGGACCCTCCACTGTGGCCAGAGGGGGGATGCTAATGGCGGCATCTCAGGCACTGAGGCAGGCTAGGGGCGAGGGTCGGGTGGGGGACAAAGGCCTTCTCGGGCTCATCACCTGCTGTGGGCAGGTAAGGACACGGACCTGGCAGAAGCCCTGCGTCTGGCCCTGGGCCAGGCTGCTTATCACCTGGCATGGCTCTCCAGAGGGCAATGTCAGAGGCACACACCTGACTCAGTCCCAAAGCTCTCAGGAGAGCGGGAGGCCAGCCAGAGGGAACCCTGGGCCTCAGGCATGCATCCATGCTACAGCCAGAGCTGACCAGGAGGCCCCCGAGGCAAGGCGACCAGCGCCAGTCAGCGGAGGCTAGGCCCAGCCCTGCCTCCCAAGCACAGTCCTCTTAGCCCAGGGTTGGTTACTTCTGGGACAGAGGTGGGCTAGAGGCCAGAGCCCACTGCAAATCCAGTGAGGTTTCTGCCTGTCAGCCAAGACACTTGGGAGTACCATCTTAATGCAGCTGTCCCAGTGTCAGAACCCAAGGCTCAGCTCTCCACCTGTACGGCTCTGCTACTGGAATAAGGGCCAGGGTTACACTGCCCTTGGAAGGGCCTACATCAGGTCTCAACCTGCTCCTCTGCCCGGGACCTCAGAATCCCAGCTGGCTACCCAGAAGAGGGGGGTCCAGGGTTCCCTTGATTGCCCGTGATTTAGGAAACAGCCTGGGAGAGGGTTCTCATTAGAAAACCAGTCTGTGGAAGTCCCCGCCATTGCCGCCTGCAGGGTTGCAGCCTCCCGCAGAGCCTTCGTCCTCATCCTTGTCTTCGTCAAAGCCCCGGCCCCAGTGGGGAGACGCAGGGAGGGCTGAGATGTAGGCTGCTCGGCTCCGAGCCTCTTTTTCTTGCTCCTAAGAACACCAATGTGGGTGGGAGAAGCAGCTTCAAATTCAGACCCTGAAGCCCAGGCCACCCCTCTCTCCTGCCCCCAAAACACCAAGTACCGCCTTCCTGATTACTTCCTTGGAACCAGGCCACAGGCAGGCCTACTGACAAGAATTTAAAATCTCAACCACCTCCAAGCAAGAACTCCAGCCTCTGGGAGGAAAGGTCTTACTCTGCACTAGGCTGTAACTAGCTCACCAGGGCATGACCCGGCCCCAGGAAGCAGGAGGGTAGGGGCTGGGCAGACCACCTCACAGCACACAGGGGCTTCTGCTGGCTCCTAACCCTGCCACCAGGGAGCAGACACGGACAGTGCCGAGAAAGCGTGCCCCCCATGGCAAAGGGGTCGCTTCCCCAATCCCTGCCTCCATCCCAGGAGCCACCTTCTACATGGCACCTGTTGGACTGTCCTTGCAGGATGCTAATCGTCCTGACATCACGCCTACTCTAAAACAGGCAGGGAGAGGCCCAGGTGTTAGGGGTGGGGGATAATCCCTGGAAAAAGACAGGGACCCTGAGGGGCGCTTCCCCACACCATTGCTTGGGCGGAGGTGGGAAGCACTACAGCCTCATAAAACCAGCCCAGCAGGGCAGCCCCAACCCGGAAGGCTGGGTGTATGTATGGGCTCACCCCACCCAGGTGGGGCCCAGACCTGGAGGCAGCTGCTCACCTGCAGGTACAGCACGTTGTCTTTGGAAATGGCCTCCATCAAGTCCTTGTGCAGTGTGGGCTCTGCCCGCGCCCTGGGGGAGCCGGGCTCGGCCACTGGCACCTCCCCGGGCCGCTGCCGGTAGAAGAGCACGTAGGCCGTGTCTTTGGGGAAGAAGGATGTGACGTTGCTGACAGACTCGAAGGAGGAGAAAGACACTCGGGTGTCATTGAACAGGTACCACTGGTTATCGGGCTCCGGCCTGTCGGAGGCCCCCAGGGCAGAGGCGGCCGGCCTCGCTGCGCCCTCGCGGGCATAGCAGTAGTAGTGGCCGCTCTCGGAGGACACACCCGAGTGCACCACGACACTGCACAGGTCGTAAGCCTGGCCATGGCCGCCGGCCAGCGGCAGGCGCAGCAGCAGCGGGAGCGCGACGTCGTCGAGGATCTTGCGGCGCCGCATGGTGCGCAGGTCGAAGGAGAAGCGCAGCAGCGTGAGGATGAGGTAGCGCGGGCCTTGGCTCAGCTCCACCACCTTCTCGGCGTCCTGCAGGGAGGCGCAGGACTCGCAGTGGTAGCGGTTCTCCGCCGTCAGCCGCTCGGGTGAGAGGAAGTAGTTGACCAGGTCCAGCACGGAGCGGGAGCCCTCGGACCCGCTGCTCGGCTCCCCCGTGGGGGTGGGGGTGGTGGCAGCGGCAGCAATTCCGGGGCCCAAGCCGTCCTCGTCCTTCTCCTTCTCTGTCTCTGTCTCCTCCTTCTCTTTCTTCACCTTCTCTTCCTCCTCCTCCTCCTCTTCTTCCCTTGCCAGGGGGCTTTCCTCTACTTCCTTCTCCTCCTTCTCCCCGTCTCCCTCATCTTTCTCCACCCTCCCCTCCTTTGCCTCTTCCTCCCTGTCCACCTGCTGCTCGTTCGCTCCCAGGACATCCAGCAAGGGAGGGGCGGCGTCCCCAGCGATGCAGAGCTTGCGCTGCCTCCGGGCCCCCACCCTGCTGGCCCCCTGGGCCCTGACCTCCTCCGCAGGGCGCACCACCGAGCCCAGGCGGCGGCGGCGGCAGCGCTCGGGTGGAGGAAAGGCCAGGGAGAGGTCCGTGAAGGCCTCCTCCCGCGAGGAGACGTTGAGGCAGCGCAGGCAGCGGATGCGCGTCACAATCTTGCCCCCAAACATGGTCTCCACGGAGGTCAACCGCGGGCCTGGGGCTTCTTCCGGCGGGGAGGGCAGGCTGGACTGCTTGAGCTTCTGACAGATCCTCGCGCCCGTTTTTTCCTCTTCATGCAGCCTGGAGCGGGCGACACAGGGTCTGCGTCCATACCAGCCATGGCCACACACCTGCTTTATTCAGGCCTCTTCATGTGTTCCACGTGTTTCCCAGACACATGCAGGGATCTGCATAGGGTGCATGCGCACACATACACTCAGGGGAGTTCGTGCACATCCACATGCAGGTGCATCTCATGCGACAGGGTGACCTGTGTGCGACAGGTGACCTCACGGAGGTATTGAGTCACAAGCAGCCTAGAAGAGCCACCAGGATACACACCCTGCCAGAGTTCACCTGCAGCTGTGCAGGGCCAGGCAGTCCCACCCCCCATCTCCCACTCCCCCAAGTGCAAGGCAGCACTCCCCTTTCTGGGAGGCAGCAATCCAGCAACCAGCCACAAGGCTCCCCTGGCAGGAACGCTCTGTGCACCTGCTGGCCTCAGCCTCCCTTACCGATCCAGCAGGTACTTCAGGTACTCTGAGCAGTCCTGCTGGGTGCCCGGGCTGAACCAAGGTGTCCAGGACGCAGAGAGAAAGTTCTCAGGGGAAATGGCGGGTCGCTAGGATGAGAACCACAAAAAGTGCTGTGAGGCCTGATGGCCCTTGCGGGCTCATTCAGCAGCTCTGTGGCATGTTAGGCCTGGAGTCCAACCTGAGATGAGCCCCCTCCAGTCCCAGGTGTCCCTGACGCACCCCCAGCACATCTCCCAAAGCGGAGCCCAAGGTTTACTGCCTAGGAGACTTCACACTTTGGGTCTTTGCCACTGCCCCGTCTCTGCCCGAGTCTGGATGAGTGCTGAGGGCAGCTTTCCCACCATCACTAACCTCTGCCTCCCCCAGTCACTGCCCTCAGCCAAGGTCACTCGGCTGCAGGCCTTAGCCCGAGCTTGTTCACCTCTTGTGCCCCACCCTGGCCAAGGGCTGTTGGTTCCACCAAGGGCAGAGACAACATTTATTTGGTCCACCCACCCCCTCAGCAGCCCGACAGTGGATGAACACAATGGCACAGCCTCTCTTGCCCACAGGACAGGCAGCGCAGGCTTTTGCCAAGAACCTGTGCCAGCCTGGATAGGGCTCAGCCACTCAACTCCTCACAGTGGGAGCTCCCAGGCAGAGGGAGCCCAGGAGCCAGCCCAGGAGAGCCTTCCCCATGGTGCTCCCCTCCCCATCCCGGGTTCCCTGAAAATACCTGGCTGTGCTCCAGGAAGGCGAAGAGCCATTGAAGCTTGGTCATCAGGGGCTGCGAGTTGTTCTCGGTCAGACGGAGCACGCAGTGTCTGAAGCTTCAGAACAAAGCAACAGCATGCAGAGTAAGCCACAGCACCCATTTGCACTGCCAGCGCATCTTGCACAGTGCCTCCCGACCTGAGGCATCGGGTACTTCCCTATTCAAGTTCAGACCAGAGGCCAGGGAGAAGGAACAGGTAAACAAGGAAGCCTGGAAGGGCCAAGGTCAGGGACACAGCAATGACCTTGATTTCAATCATCAAGGGTTCAGCCAAGTGTCCCCCTAGGGTCCTTTCTGCCTCTGATCGCTGCCCTGTGGCCCCACAGACCTAAGAGTCCAACCTGGGACCCCACAGACTCGTGCGTGCTTCGGAGTGCCCGCCAACACCACTTCAGCCACCCACTTGGGCTCCTGCTTCCCAGGGAAATGGCAGCCACATCCAGCCAACAGCAGCAACCCCACCTTGGTGTGGATTGCTTGGTGCAGCAGGGGGACAGAAATCTCTCCTACTTGGGAACAGGACGGGGTTGCCATCCAGACCTCATACCTGAAACCAGGCCAGCTGTCATGAAATCTGAGCCAGAGAGGGCTGCACCTCACTACCCAGGGCCTGTACCTGGGGACCAAAGCTTATGCCCCTTGCTTAGTCAGGCAACCAAGGTGCCAGCCCCATCAACCCTCTGTAAACCTCGGCAGCCAGTGGAGCAAGATGTCCAGCGCTGGGGGGCTGACCTTGCAAACGTGCCTGCTGCTTCATACCCAGCACCTGAGAGGCCCAGAGGCCTCTATCACCAGGCCAGCACTCACAAAGGCAGCTTCTAAACCCGCCCAGCCCCCAGATGGGGGCTCTAAAGGACAGACTCGTGTTTTGACCTGCATCAGTCTCCCTGTCCCACTAACCTCAAGCAGGCATGGTGAGCATCCACAAGACTGCACAGGGCCCCGGGGCTGCAAGACTCAAGTGCAACCCAGAATCATTTCACCTAAGGAGCGAAGGGATAGGCCCTGCTGCTCCCCAGACTCATACCTCAGGCAGACAGCAAGGAGCAAGACTCCAGCTACTGGGGAGAAGGATCCTACTGTAGACACAGCACTGCAGCTTGGAACTCCCAGCCATGCTGGTAAAATCCAGCATCGGGCAGATCCCAGCAGCAGCTCCTGACCCCAGGTCAGGTGGCACCTCTGGAACCACTTGCCCATGCCACACAAGATCCATGGCCTTTGTCCATTGCTCTAATACCCTGGCCAGCATCCCTGCCTGCTGGTTGCAGACTTCAAGCACCAAGTGGACCTCAGCAGCAGGCAGACCAGAGCTACATGCAGTCTTAGTGGGCTGCGGGCACTGAGTGTGATCGGCAGCAGGGCCTACTGCATCCTCCCCCCAGTCCCAGTGGTACAGCACAGTGACTGCCCCACCCCTGCCAGGAGGAGGTCACTGCCAAGAACCCACAAGACATCGTGCAGAAACCTGCACACTTCCCACATATTTCAGGTCACTACTGCTGTGCTGCAGCCACTCGGCTACCACCACAGGAGCCTAACCTATCCCTGCAACCACAGCTCCCCTAGACCAAGGGCTAGTACCCCTGTGACCCCACCCTACAAGCTCCCCTGGGAGCCATTCCGGGACACGTGTATGTCCCAAACCCCCTACATACACTGCCATCAATTACAGTAGAAGACACAGGAACCCTACACCCCAGCCTTCAACTAGAACTCATGCCAAGACAACACCTGAAGACTCGATTTCAGAGAAAAAGCCTCTTACTGCAAAAACAACTTTCTAAAAAGTCATCTGCCACATAGACAAATTTCTACCTAAGGACACAGGCAGCATCAGATGGCCAAGAAAACAAGGCTGCTGGCAAGGCATGGCCCGACACCTTAGTGACAGGCTGCAGTCTAGCTGCAGAGAGAAGATGTCAACGCTAAGATAACTGTATCAATATCCTGATGAGCCCACATACACAAAGATAAGGAACAATAAGCCTCTGAGACCTTGGAGATGCCATGACACCAAGATCAATTTGAATTGTGGAGATCCTTGAAGCACAGGAAAGGAATCAAAGCATGGAGACCACAGCTGAAGTACCTCCATTCGGTAAAGATCCTACCTTCCCATCTGGGAGGCCCACGGAACAGGAATGGCCAGCAAACACCTGCCAGCAACACATTCTAAGCAATGCTGTGAACACCACCACAAAAGCAGTTCTAACATCTGCAAATGACAAAGTCACTTCCAGGACCTGCAGGACACTTGCAGATTTCTCGGAAGAAATCTTATAGACCTAGAGGGAATGGAATGATACATTCCAAGTTGCGAAGGAAAAATACTGCTCACCAAGAACACTACACCCAGAAAAGCTATCCTGCCTAACTCAAGAAACAGAGCACTCACCACCCCCAGACTGACCTCCCAGAAGACATGTCAAGGGACCCTAAGACACAAGCAGAATAAAGTTAACTCCTGTGACCAAAGCACATGAAAGTCTAAAAACTGACCAGGAGAGCAGACACAAAGAAAGCAAGCTTTATCAAGATGGAGATGAAAACCAGAGAAGAAAAAGATATTCAACATAAACAGTACTAACTCATATTTATCAGTAATAACTTTGAAAGTCCTCAATCAAAAGAGAGACCAGGGCTGGTACAGTGGTATCACAAGCTAATCCTCTGCCCACTAGCACTGGCATCCCATATGGGCACTGGCTTGTGTCCCAGCTGCTCCACTTCTTATGAAGCTCTCTGCCTATGTGCCTTGGAAAGCAGAGGAAGGTGGCCTAAGGCCTTGGGACCCTGCAGCCACGTGGAAGATCCAGAAGAAGTTTTGGGCACCCAGCTTTAGACCAACTCAGTTCTAGCCACTGTGGTCATTTGGGGAGTGAACCAGTAGATGAAAGATCTCTGTTTCTCCTTCTCTGTAAAATCTGTCTTTTAGGGGCCCAGCACCTTTAAGAATTCTTGAGAAAATGAAAACGGAAGGCATGGTAATGAAAGTTACAGAAAATGCAAAAGCAGTACTAACAAGTTCAGTTGGGGGTAGGGGCAGGGAGTGTTGCAGGATGGCTGAATAGGGTGAAGACTTGCTGATTTGGGCTGGGGAAGGAAATAAAGGAAAGGTAGATGAGGCAGGCTCCTGAGGGGAGAGTTGCAGAATTCAGTAGCGGAGATACTGCAGAAGATACAGTAGTGCCACATAGTGAGTCGGACAGCATGGCTGCATGGCAGCAGACTGGTTTGCTACCAGCAACTGGAATATTCTAGAAGAAAGGTGGGACAGGCAGTGGTCAGTGTAGCAGGCAGTAAGGCCCAATTTAGAAACCTGTGGGACAGCAAGGAGCAAGACTCCAGCCCCTGGGGAGAAGGAATAAAGTCCACACAGCAGGAGTAGGGGTGGAATACATACCTTGCCACTCAGAGCACTTAGACTAATGGGCAGCAGGTACAGTGTTGGCAGAGCCCTGGAGCCGTCAGCAAAGTCCTCCACACTGGGACTGCCGAACACACTGAAATGGCAGTGACCTCAGCGTGGATGTGGCTTTCCATGGGCATGAGCCTTGCTCACCGCAGGCATAGGCTTAACCCTATTTAGTGAATGCATCTCGCTAGTGTTGTCAAGATAACAGGTCTGTGGGGCCTGGTACGATAGTCTAATGGCTAAAGTCCTAACTTTGAACGTGCCAGGATCCCATATGGGTGATGGTTCTAATCTCAGCAGCCTCACTTCCTATCCAGCTCTCTGCTCACGGTCTAGGAAAGCAGTCGAGAACAGCCCACAGCCTCGGGTCTCTGCACCCAAGTGGAAGACCTGAAAGAGGCTCCTGGATTTGACTGGTTCAGCTCCAGCCATTGCAGCCACTTGCAGAGTGACCCATTGGACAGAAGATCTTCCTCTCTCTTTCCTCCTCTCTGTATATCTGCCTTTCCAATAAAAATAAATAAAACCTTATAAAAAAAAATAGGTCTGGGGGCCCAGCAGCATGGCCTAGCAGCTCAAGTCCTTGCCTTGAAAGCCCCAGGATCCCATATGGACACCAGTTCTAATTCCAGCAGCTCTACTTCCCATCCAGCTCCCTGCTTGTGGCCTGGGAAAGCAGTCGAGGAGGGCCCAAAGCTTTGGGACCCTGCACCCGTGTGGGATACTCAGAAGAAGTTTCTGGTTCCCGGCTTCGGATTGGCATAGCATCGGCCGTTGCGCTCACTTGGGGAAGTGAATCATGGGATGGAAGATCTTCCTCTCTGTCTCTCCTCCTCTCTGTATATCTGACTTTGTAATAAAATAAATAAATCTTTAAAAATAAGTAAATAAATAAAAACAAAGGTCTTTGTTAAAAGTTCATCCTAAAATAATAATAATAATAATAATAATAATAAAATAGGTCTGTGTTCCCCACTGTCTTAAGAGTTTACACTGGCAGTAGGGCAGAGACCATACATGCAAAAGCCTGCCTACCAACCCAAGGTCTGAGCAGTCCAACCAGAGAACTCACAGGAAGGTGGTATGGGGAACAGCCTGCTCCCCTTACCTAGAGCCAATCACGGACCTGACTTGAGCCTCAGCAGCCTGTGGCTGTGGGAGTCACGTGAACATATCTGTGGGAATTCTGTGGCTGCACAAAAGGGGGTTTGCGTGCCTGGGTCTCAGGGAGCACTGAGTACTACACAGATCTCTCATGCAGTACTAGTGCTGGCATGGGTGGAAGTTCCAGCTGTTGTGGCATGAACTTTGAGTGTCCAACACCTTTAAACAGTTGAGGGAAGGTTGTAGTCAACTTCCCTAACGTGGAGAAATAAGGGGGCATCCAAATACATGAAACCAGGAAAGATCTACACCACCAACATTGCAGTCAAGCTTTCCACAGTAAAACACAAAGGCTCTAAAACGTGCATGGGAGAAAAGATGACTACCTCCAGAGGATCTCCAGTCAGACTTACAGCTGACTTCTCATCAGAAACTCTACAGGCTAGGAGAGAATGGAAGGACATAGTCCAGGTCCTAAAAGATGGCAAAATAAAGAACTTCCAAAAAAAATTGAAAGAATTACAAATGATGTG